TTGGACTCGGCAAGTACACTCACCTTACACCTCTGGGTTCTTCGGTTCGATTCCTTCGAGATTCTTGGACTCGTCAAGTACACTCACCTTACACCTCTGGGTTTTCCGGTTCGATTCCTTCGAGATTGTTGGACTCGGCAAATACACTCACCTCACACCTGTGGGATTTCAGGTTCGATTCCTTCGATATTCTTGGACTCAACATCGCATGTGGATAGATTTTGTTAAGTCATTCCATTGAGTTTTTTTCTGGGTATGTATAAGATTTGTTTCAGAGTATTGATAACATTTGTAGGTTAAAAAACAAGAGGTAGCCTCAATTAACAGTAGACCCACTGTTTTATGTAGATGAGACCTACGTTTTCTCAAACTCGTTCATTCTATTTTCATTTGCAGTCATTCCTCTTTTTAATTCCTTTCCTTTCTTCCCCCCAGTCGATTATACCTGATTCAGGGTGCCCTCTGCCAGCAAGAATGGCGAGTAGCTGAATTGCTCCACAAGCTGTTGTCCATCATTAAGTCTCGCCTTGGCCACTCGTATAAGAACGTGCGTGACCGCTCAGGGAGGTAATGAACCAAGGACCTTTATTAAATTATTGTGAGTGGTTTTCGTATGAGTGGGAAACATACGATACTGATATACAGCACGTACACGGTACCGCATGCTGTAGCATTGAAGTGGCTTTCCATTGTCTTCTCATTATCATTGCCAGTAATTTATCAAATCACAACACGTAGTTACGACTACGGTAAGATATACGGTACGGCTAAAGTATGGATACGAATTTGCCTTATCGTTTCACACTCATACGAAAACCGCTATAAAAGAATAATGATATTTGTATTGGTGTTGTGTGCACGTATATTTTGTGTGTACTAAAACATACCTCTCGCAGCTAGTCATGGAAAACTTGCCAAACAGCGTATTTAGCTTCTCTTTATTTTACTAGTGCAGCACACTCAGGCTGTAACTCGAATACTGAGGTCATTGCCGTGGTATAAACTTCATATTTATTATATCAACCAACATGACGACCACATCTTTTGTTCTCAGTTAATTCTCATGGAAAAGGATGCACACCACCTATTTTCCACCTTTTAAGTGATGTATTTTCTTTAAACTTGGCAAAAATTTTATTTGCATACGGTCTTGAAGGTTTTCTCTCAGGACGAAGTTTACAGGCCCATCCTTTCTTTGATTCCTGGATCGGCCCATGGTTTTTAAACATTGAAAAATCGATTAAAAACGATTTAAAAATCAATCTTAAAATCGATTTTGGACCATTTTCACACCTTATGCAGTATTTATAAAGGATGCAAAATAGGTCATTTTGGGCCATTTCTGAACAAAAAACATGGGGCATAGCCCATGGTTTTGATCAATTTTGGACCGATTTAATTGGACCACCGCGACGTTTTTGACTACTAATGCTAGTCTTTATCACGCGATGGTGTAGAATGGAAGTTGGTCTTCTTCTATACTGTCAGTCAAATTAACAATTTACTTTTTAATTTACGGAAAATCAATCTTAAAATTACAGGAGAAAATGAAAGACATAAAAATTACATATGTGAATTAATGAACTTTCGAGTTAACCACCACTATGTTAGTGTTATTTCGTAATTCTCTGTTGATACTATATAATATATATTTATTTCTCCCTGTTGCAGTGTTCTTTGCAGTATCCTGATGTATGACAGTCCTCTACCCAACTCTCTAGCCTCACTGTCACCCAACAGAACAGACTTCGTGAGAAGCATTCTACCTCGACTCGATTGCCTTCTGAGTCTAACAGCAACAGACAAGGAAGACATGTCTACTGCTGGGGTTGACATGGCTAAGGTCAAAGAGGGATCTGCTGAAAGTGAAGCTGTTAAGCTTTTGAAGACAAGTATGTAGAAAGTGCTATTATGGTAGATAATGTTATTCGCTTCCTAGCCTTCGTTACATCAGTGAGGACATTCTAACTAATAGACCCCTTCACACTTAGCACAATATTTTCTTATTTCAGAACATCTGTCAATCTCTATAGTTTCATTTCTTATGAAGCCACGTTTCGGGTCAAAGCAACAAAGCAATATAGATTTTCTCCTTGGGGAAATCATGTTGCTTTTCATGTAAAGACATTACATTTTTCCTGTCCAATGACATGGCTGCAATGCGGAGCACTTTTGTTTGGTTTGTTTCTCGTTTACATAATGTATTGTCATTTTTTTTACAGTTACAAACTGGCTTCTTACACATGCTGTCAGGGCTTATAACAGCTGCTTTCAACAGTTTTTCGATTTGCTGCCTTATGTAAGTAAGACTAATGGACATTTTCCGAGTTGTTTAAGCAGGATGCCTATGTATTGTGGGCTAGCTTGGGTATAAACAACACCATTACATAAAGAGTATTTATAATGAAGAAAGAAAGTTTGTACTCAAGCTAGATCAAAACGGTTGGTATGGTGAAGGTTTTGCGCTTTTTTTGGAAATAGCTGCATAGACCCCTTGCACTGAGTCCCTA